GGGTGGTCAGCTGTTTATCTACATCCAATCTGTTTCGGCCTACTTGTCTCCGCCTATTGCTGCAGTCTTCTTGATGGCTATCCTCTGGAAACGGAACAATGAACTTGTAAGTTTTTGCCTACATCCCATTGTTACACTTTAACACAGTGCAGCAACAGTCCACATTCCCTGTACTCCTAACTTGTCGCATTCTTCCTGATAAGTGCACTAAGTAGTACTTGCAGGACCAGCAACGAACCTGCCTTAAAGATCCCTTAGTAGAAGACCAAAATCAGCGCTTATAAATTCTGAATCACACAGGTTCTGATCAGTCATTTCGCTTTAATTCTTCCTTGGGCTGTTTTACGATGCCTTTGAGAAAAGCGAGTTAGATAGATGAAAAACACTCTTTGAATCACTGAACGTCCTCCTGCAGCCGGATTGATAAAAGCCTAACTATTTATACTCAGATTCGTGTTGGGTTTATGCGGAGATACTCGCTGTCTAGGCTATTTTTAGCATATTCCGTTTTTGTCGAAGGGAAGGGGCCTAAGTCTTTTGGACACACCTGGTGGGCACGGCACGTTCCTTACTGCCTACGCTCAAAATTCCAGAGTTGTAGGCTGGTAGGATATTCGGTGAAGCATGTGACTAGCCTTACCTAAACTGTTCCTCATTTCAATGCAGCCAAATAAGCTACCTTTTCAGAAGAGAAAAGCGAGTGTGGGTGAGGAAGTGGGGGCACAGGTTTGGAAGAAAATGAAACTGTAAACATGGATTTTTGTCAAACAACACATCATCGACAAGCTGACGGTCAGGTCGGAAACCAATCGCATAACCTGTATTCACATAATACACTACACCAGAGGTCGGAACCCTTTTTGACTCAGAGAGCCAAGAAAATTTTTTTTTCGAAATATATTTCATTGAGAGCAATAAATTATATTTTAAGATTGAATTCAATTAGATGTGAGTATAATACGCCTCTGGATGTATTCTTTTAAATAGCGTTTTTATAGTACTCACCGTTAATGTGACTTCTGGTGCTGCATGGATTTGCTGATGGCTTTGTACTCTGGGTGATAGTTGGTGAGGTTAAGCTTCCTGCAAGCGTAGAGGCTTTCATCCGTTAGACGTGAGTGTAGGGTGGACTTCTAATTCCAATTTGATCTGAGAGAGCCAGATGCAATCGTCAGAAGCGCCTAACCTGACTCGCAAACCATACGTTTCCGAGCCCTGCACTATACTGTGAGAGTTGATTTGCTGTTCATTTTTTCTTTTATTTTCTATTGAACTTTCTATGCTTCTTCTGATGCTTTTAAAGTAACTCGATAAATTTGGAAATCCAATCTTGTGTGCTCACCCGCGATATACTAACATTGGGAGACCCTACGTTTTTTGACCGCTACTCCCGTGTTTTCTTTTGAAATTTTAAGTCAATGTAGTCAACTTGCCTGAATATTTGACGTTTCTTATGCAAAATAATTAGTCCTTGCTGGAATTAGCCTCTTAATTACGCTTAGAGGTTTATGCTGAAAAGTCCGTAGCAGCAAATCTACCTGACCTTTAGTTAACGCTTTCGGGACAGGACTTTCCAGGTTTGGTCTAAAAGGTTTTAGGAATGTGTGAGCAGAATTCAATTAGCTTTCCATTAAAATCCACCCTTGCTTGAAGGTTTCAGTTGAAATCCAGACAGTCCTACTCACGCTAAACATAGAAACAATAAGAAATTTAATGAAAGGAGGGAAAGATGCGGATGTCTTACAATGCTTAAATTGATCACTACTTAGGAAAGCGGGCAGCCGTCTTTCGCGTGGTACCTATTTCGTTTTCACAGCTTTACTGGAGTTCTGTCAGATTTCTTGTTACATTTCTCAAAATGTTATACATTGCCCTTGTTCCTTTCTAAGATTGTCATCTTATGAAGCATTATTAACTGTCCCTAACGGGCCTTTCGCTTTCCGCACAGCAGCGGTAACTTTCTGAATCAAATGAAGTCTGATAAAAGCACGTTATATGGGTAAGGATTACGTATCCGGCCCCCTAAACAAGGCGCGAAAATAGGAACGCCCGTCTACGTACTGCAGGTCTCTTCGCGCATAGTCTCAGGAACAGTAAACCTTTTCGTCTCCCAACCTTAAAACTAGCTTTAACATAAGCTTAAACTGAAGCCAAAATCTGAACCTTAACAGATGAGCGTTACCGAAAAAGACGCGAAGGAATAGAATGATCGTTTCGGGTTCATTAACCTTTAACAACTAGCTATAACCCCACCTCAAGTGGTGCACCGCCCGAGTCTCCAACCCGTGACCTGTTGCTTAGAAATCCAACGCTTTAACCACCGAGATGGCTGGCTGGTTGGCTGATGACGGCTAATAAGCCCGAAACGGCCATCCCAGTCCGCCTCGTGTTTATAGTTAATGCTCATCTGCCTGTAGTACTAGCCTCTGTGCTGTTGCTAGTTTGCCAAGGCAGAACGAAAAGAGCTAGTCCTGTTACCGATCGGTGAGCGTTCATCCACTAATGCCCAACACGGCTGTTAACACTAATCCTGAACTCAAATCTAGCAGTACTCCTAAACTTGAACTTCACCCTAATTTTCCTTCCCCGTTTAGGGAGCCATATGAGTCTTCCTTACAAGGATGCGTTTTAGCATGCATATGAGTTTACACATAAAAGTCGCCTCCAGCATGTTTTTCACCTCATTTACAAGGGCGCGTAGGTTCACGCACACGGTTTAAGCGCTCTAGCCACCTCTCCAATCTTAAATTAAGGCCATCCGTTCTGCCTTGAAATTAAGCACTGTCTGAATTTTGGTTCATTTCTTGTCTCCTTTGTTTAAAGGGCGCCTTTACGGGTCTAATATACGGCTTTTTGCTTGGCATCGTGCGTATGGCGCTAAGTTTCTTCTATCCTGATCCCATCTGCGGTGAGGTCGATACCCGACCGGCGATTATCGGTCGTGTGCACTACATGTACTTTGCCATGATCTCCTTCTTCTCCACGGGGATCATTATGTGCATTGTCTCGCTACTTTCCAAACCACCTACTCTGGCACAATTAAATGGGCTTACCTACTGGACCAGAAAAGAACCCGTTATTCTCCAAGAAAGTCCAGTCTCGGTAAGAATTGACGAAGAAATTTCTGTCAGTGGGTTCTGGGACGATCTAAACGCTAACGGCATGGAATCGACCCGGAGTGCCTTATCAAATGCTGATCCGCCACGACAACCCAAGGCATCAGGAGACGCTGTTGAGGATGGTGAGTTAGACACCCTGAGGACCCTGTAGCGTGTCGTAAATAAACAGACCCGTTACCTTTAAGGCGAGTACTTTTATGTTTAAGAGTGGTGTCTGTGGCCTTCCCTCCAATCAAAGCTACCATTGTGCGTCTAAGGTAATCCACAGACATGCCAAGTTCCCTGGCTACCTTGTAGCATTCGTATTTGTTTTTACAACCGATCAATTTTGTGACCATACCTATTAACAATATCCTAAGTACTTTTATGACAGTACTGGGGATGCTACTCCGGCTATTCTAATGTCCTTCAATTAATTTTGACTTGAGCATGCCCCAAAAAGGATATGGTAATAGGAACCTCCCGGAATACAGGCGGCTTTCCGCTGGGTTCCATGTAAGTGAGCGTTAAGTATAAGATTGGGGTTAATTTATGGTAAGTGCTAAGATAAGCCTTAAGTTAAGTTAGAGCTGGTGTTAGTTACAGGGTTAATGTTTAAGGTAGCGCTATGCTTAACATTTGGGCAATGGTTTAGGTTTGTGTTAGGACTGAATTACGGGTATGGACACGGGTATAATTATCCTTCCTGGAAGTACACACTGAGCCACATTTTATTACTTGGATGGGGCGTTCCTACTGCTGCGTTGGGTCTGGGGGACCTTATAAGTAGTCTTTAGCAAACAGCCTTTTGTCGTTTTTTCTTGCCAACAGTTGGGAGCTATGTTCGGCCTTTTCCTGATTTTCTGCTTACAAGTCTGACACCTGAATGGGCTTTATGAAGACTGTTCCGTAGACAAAGGTTGGTTTCGTAAGCGACAGTCACCCCCAAAAAGCAGTCCTTTTTGATTGGGTATATTTAGGCAACCAGATCCGACTTTAGTGGTTTATCCTACATCACCACTACAAATTACGAATTTATGCCTGCCATTTAAGCTTTAGCATCTACCTGTCCGC